TATGGGGGGGGGGGGGGATGTTTAATGTCACTTTAAGGGAAATTTCCTCTACAAAGTGCAAATTCCCATGCAAAGTGAGCAGCCCATTTGCCTTTAGTAAAACAACCCCTCTGTGTACAGCTACTGTAAGGCATGCCATTTTGGAATAGACATCTATCAAATTTCTATGATTGATTTTACTTTGAGAGTTTAGCTATTTTGGTTTCTTCAATTACATATACTATGCAGGTATTCAATAAGCAATTTTATGTTGCTTTTTACATTCTAAAATTGACATTAATTAAAAATAATCAGTACTAAAATATATATATTTTTTCAGCATGAAAGAGATGTTTAAATGCAAGAAACAAAAAACACAACGTGAAAAGGCATCTGCAAAAGTCATCTTAGACGAATATCAAAAACTTGGCCCTATTAGGTAAGCTTTTAACAAAAAAACACCATACAATTATTTAGGTATTGCAGATGAAATCATAGAAATAATAATAAATTGTTGTAAACATTATTTTTTAGCTATCAAGAAATCATGACCTTCATTCTGTTTCTGCTGATGGCCCTCCTGTGGTTTACAAGAGATCCTGGATTTTTTCCTGGGTGGTCTTCTCTATTTCCCAAGTAAGTATTGTTCCACTTTTCTTGCTATTATTATTTATTCCGTAGTAGCTCTGTTACTTCAGTCCACAGTCCTTTTTTCTCCCTAAATCCCCTTGAGCCCCAGAATGTTTTTTTTTCCTTTTTGCCAAAGTCTCAGTTCAAAACATTGTACCTTTTAGCATTTGTAATCCACCCCAGCATATTATACTTGATTCAATTTGAGACAGATATAGCTATTTTTGGTAGCAAATTTGGATACATATATTAATAACTGCTTGTTTTTATTGGGAATAAATACAAAAAAAAATGAAAAAAAATATTTTCCTGTAATGTTTCCAAGTGTAAATGTTATGTCATGAAATATTGCAGGAAAATGCATTTTTACAGCTGTCATGTGACTGGTAATTGTGGCTTTCTGTTTAGCACATGTTAACCCATTTTAGTTTTCCTCTAGCATGTATTTTTTAAGCTAACTCCATAATGGGTCATTTTAATTTAGTACTTAATTTTATTTCTAGTTACCGTGGGTATGCTACTGATTCTACTGCCGCTTTACTACTGGGTCTTCTGTTCTTTATTGTCCCTGCAAATCTCTGGAAAAACGCTGGCAAAAGCAGTTGAGTATTCTCTTAAAAAGTGAACAGATTTTCCAGAAATTAATTTTGTTAAATGCATAAACAGCTATTACGCAGCATGTGTCTAATATGATTTACAACTATTTTAAGTGAAAGTCAAAAAATTAAGAATTATATTCAATCAGACAATTTCTACTTTCTTCCTTAAAATTCTTATCCTGCTAAACAGATAGGTCCCATTTATGTTATCATATTTTTTATCCAGGTATGAATCATTTTTATAATTTGTAATGTAACCTTCCTTGATATGCTTCACTGCGTTTTCAGATTTTAAATTGAAAATATTTTGTATTGCTTATGGAATAATTATGGTTTAAATGAGCCATAAAAACATCCATACCATAGTTCATAATTTTTCCTCACGATAGGGTTATCTCTGCCAAGGGTAAACTGAAGCAGATAGAAAAAAAGAAGTAATTTGTTAGAATAATGCTGTAAGAAGGGTTGATTTAATAAAGGCAAAAAGGCTGTTCACTTTGTTCCTTTGTAAAGGAATCTGTATTTTGCAGGGGAAGTTACCCTATCTGCTATTGGCTCCACAACCTCATCAGTGGCAGCAGTGATGTCTGTGACTCTTTTCACAGAAATCAACCAGCCCCCTCTTCACACGTGTCCTGCAGCCTGGAGAATCCTAGCAGATCTGCCCGCACTTCAGAAGAGGGCTCAGTCACACAGTTCTCCTTCAGTTACATAAGCCACCTGGGAACTATAGTTAATCCAATCATCTTTATGCTAAAATCACTGTTTTTTTAAATTTCACTTGCCCATGTTTGGATATTTGTATTTGTATTTGTAATTGTATTGTAACTGTCTTCCTTATATTGTAAAGCGCTGCGCAAACTGTTGGCGCTATATAAATACTATGTAATAATAATAATATTTTAAAAAAACAGGATTTTTGCATAAAGCTGGTTGGAAGATTGAAGTGATCACAGCTTCACCATATTTCCCAACATTACTAAGCTCAGTGAATGCTCACTTTTCAAAATCAACACTTATCCTGCTCAGTAAACTGTTTTTAATCCTTTATTATATCATACCCAATACGTTTTCAAGTATGTAAGGGGGAATGCTTATAATCATCCAATAGAGCTCTGCAAAAGCTTCAAATTATAGGCAAACATTGGGATTAAGTTAAATAATGTCCAGCTCTAGCCATGCTGGGCAGTGTTCCCACATCTAAGGTGTTTGTACCTGAATGTGATCCAGAGGAGGTTTCGCCCTATTGTCCCAGTTGTTCCCTATACTTATTCTGTCAACACAAGTGTATTCTAATGCCTACTAAATTGCTTATTTGTGAACACAAAAATTAATTTCACCTAAAAATATGCTGAGCACAAAACACTTTCTTGGTTGGAAAATGAATTGGATTTTATAGATTTTTTACAACAGGGATTATGACTTATGTCCAAGTTGCTTAATGGGTTGTTTTATTTTCTTGGTGTGTATAACTATTTTCTTTCTTCACACAGATTCTTTGGATTACACCCCACTCATTACATGGAAAGAATTTCAGGCCTGTATGCCTTGGGATATTGCTATTCTTGTTGGTGGTGGATTTGCATTGGCAGAAGGATGTGAGGTAATTACTTTCATTAGTGATGGACAGCAATTTAATAAGGTGTTGTCATTTCCCCCAATGTTATTTTTCAGTAAAAAGCTAATGTGATGTGGAACTTTTAATCATATTTAAGCTGTAAAACATATGTAAACTGAAGCAGCAAAGTTTGTTTTTTTCACATCTAATACAAAAAAAAGAATACATAACTCCGGAGATTATTTAAGGGCTCATATACTCGAAAGTCAAAAGGAAAAGCTCGGCATGTGTAGACCTGTTTTGGTGGTGGTGCTGGTGAGTGGTGGGTCATGTGAGATGACCCTCTCCAATCAGCTACCACTGCCCACCTGTAGGTAACAAGGAGTTCTTGAGCCTCCACAAAGTGGGAGTATAGGACTGGTACATATTTACAATGGCAGTGCCTCCACCCACCTCGGCCTTGTGGTTTAGAAGTGGGACCCCAGATGAGATAACCTTGTCCCTAGGCTTAATACTCACATTTACTGGTTCTCTTGCAGTGACTGAATCTCTTGCAGTGATGAACAGATCAAGTCCATTGATGCCTTTTTAAGTATTTATGTAAAACGATGAAACTCTAGAGAAAGAGGAATATTGGAATACCCAAAAATAGTAGTGGTGTCTCAACACATCTTATATGGTTGACAGTCCCTGTACGGAAGGTCAATCTTCTCTCTCACTATAGGTCAGAAGTGTCTCCATTTCCACAGAAGTTCCAGTATACACTCAGTGTTAGGTCTGACTGCAGCTTGGACCAAAGGAGGTTCTTGCGGTTAATTGAAAAACAGCACTGTGCTCAAAACCCTTAGTGACTATCTAGTTATACAATGTGCAATATGTGAATAATAATCAAACCATTTTAAACTCTAAAATGCGTTGTGCAATATTCTTATATGCAATCCTCCCTATAAAAGGTACAGTCCTCTAAAATTACTTCAGTGATACATCCATATATCAATGGATAACACAAATAACATAAAATGACATACAAAACATGCATTGTTCAATGAAAATATGTGCAATCCTTCCTCCTAAAGTACAATCATACAACTATTTTTGTGATTGTTCAATGTAATGTAAACAACAATATCTCTCACAATATTAATTATTGCATGCATCCAACTGTGATAATATAATCCTCCTAATGAAGTGCAGTCCTTTTTAAGTACAACATTTCTTCCAACTTTATGACCACGCCACCTCCGTGTACTTCACAAATAATCAAGTGATCCTTGCTTCCCACAATGTGATAAAGTATCTAGCCGCACTCACAGACTCCTATTGTTCACCATGTTACAGATGAACAATACACGCTTTTCAAATAGATTTCTCTCTCTATTTCTTCCACTCCCGTATCCAGCAGTTAATCAAGAGATTCTTTCCCCTCCTTCCACTATGACATTCAGCAGTTATAACTCATTCCTTACACCTTCTCCATCTTCCATCCTCTCCTCACTTTAAGTACTGTATTATACATTATATAAAACTTATAATCCAGGAAACCATTTAATTATGCTAATGCAAAGAACAGGGGACAGCCTAATTTAATCCTAAATTCTCAATTCTCAACTATTTTAGTCATCACAATCTAAAAAATAAAAATATAGAAAAAGATATATTTGAAAAAAAAATCCTGTTCATTTAAAATGTCCTAAATAGCGCAATCACATGAAACCATCTAAAATCAATATTCTGTATTATCATAAACACGGTGGTGCATCTCAACTACCCTTCGGATTATAATTAACTATTTAAAATTTCTCTTATTATTTAAAATCTGTTGAAGGTCTCAGTTATACCGGGATGTATTTTATACCAATCAGCATCTCTCATCGGTATGCTCAGTAAGATTTGAAAATGAGACAGAGAAGGTGATTGGTTGCAGTGCAAATCTGCTCCAGATTTGGTCTGGTCCAGTTTTGATGAATTCCCCTCACAATGTCCAACAGGTATATCCATTTTGTTTCTCTCTGTGAAACTTCTTTTTTAAATTGTCCCCTCTCCATTGTCTCATGGCTCTGTCAAATCCACAATATGTAAGCCCCTAGGGTCCTTGTTGTGATATACAGTAACTTAAAATGGTTTGATACACTTATCTTTAGTGAAACAATTTTTAATATTGTGAATGTGTTCCTTTATATGAATCTTAAAGGAGAACTATGAGGCGAGTGAAAATCACCCAGCCTCATAGTTCTAGCCGACCTGTGACAATGAAACTGTCACTCGTCGGCTTAATAGATCAGGAAGTGAGCGAACACATACCATCGCTCGCTCACTTCTCGATCCTGTTCTTGTAGAGAGCCGTGACTGTCACTCATGGCTCCCTGCAGGGATTCACCCCCCTTCCCTGTCCGATCCTCCAGCGCTGACTGGCGGAACGGACGTGGAGGGGGCGGGTACAGCTGGCTCTGCCTCTAGATATCCCTCACGCAGCTGGGTCGATCCAGACAGTAATGTCGGGATCCGTCCCGGCTGCGGCGTCTCAGTACACTGCGAGCTGTAGCTCGCGGTATACTGAGCTTTGGGTGACGGGAGGACTCTAGTTTGTGTCCTCCCGTTACCCTTAGGAGAACTATGGGGAAAAGCCCTGACCCCATAGTTCTCCTTTAAGCTGTCTTGTGGTTCTCCCTATGTATTGCTTACCCACAAGGGCATGCAAGTAAATAAGTAACGTGGGTTGTTCCACAAGAAATTAATTCTTTTATATCAAACATTTTATTATTAGTGTTCGATTTAAATTGGGTTACTTTTCTTCTCTGCTGTGTTAAACAACATCTCCCACACATCTGCCACATGGATAAAATCCTATTCCATTAAACAACGTCATTGGTTTCTTGGGTGGTTCTATAACATTGTACACTAGTCTATTCTTTAGTGTAGGGGCTCTCCTATATATAATATTGGGTTTATTTGGTAGAATAGGTCCCAGTACTTTGTCCCTCATTAAAATATTCCAATGCTTACGCATAATTCTTTCTAGTTCTTTATATTGCATAGAATAATCTGTGACAAAGGAAATAACATAGTCCTTATTCTTTTCTATTTTTTGTTTTCAATGCGTCTACTCTATTTTTTCACCTATTTTTATTTTCCTCGTGTCACCTTAGTTGTATCCTATCTATAAGAACCTATTTTCAATATTACTAACTTGTTCTTCAAAATCTGTCTAACGTGCAATTACATCTAATCTTACTAGCTGTCCCTTGGGTATACCGGTGATCCAATTAGGATGATGGCAATTGTATGTAACTGTTACGATCTGTCATTTTAATGGTTTCAATGGTATTCCAAAACGGGTTTAAAGAGGACCTATCCCCCTGCCAGATCTACAAAATATCATCTATGAATCTTCGCCAAAGAGATAGGCCCTCCCATTTGGCACCAAAAATAACATCCTCCCCCCACTTGGCAATAAATAAATTTGCTAGACTCGGGCAAATTTAGCAGCCATTGAAACACCCCTAATCTGAAGATAATATTCGCCACCATACCAGAAATAATTATTCCGCATCACAAAATCTGTGCACTGAGTAATGAACTCTACCTGTTCCTTCTCTAAATTGTCATCCTTATTTAATGGCCATAACACAGCTTCCAATCCTTTTCCCTGATCAATGTTCGTATACAGGGATTCAACATCCATCGTGACAAATATAAAATCTTTTGTATTTTTTTATCTCAGCTAAAATTTTAATTCTTTCGCTACTGTCTTTTAGATAGGCTCTTGTCTTAGTGACCAGGGGCTGTAAAAAAATGATCCACATACTCCCCTGTTCTTGATAAGAGACTCAATTCCACTGAAAATTGGTCTACCTGGTGGGTTAATTTCATCTTTATGTATTTCCAGTAAAAAATAAATTACTGATATTCTCATGTTAGAGGGTAGTAAGTATTTATACTCTTCTTTTTTTTTTAAATGCCTTTTTTTCCATCCATCTTTTAACAGTTTCCCTAATTCTTTCTTATAATTACTTGTTGGGTCATTAGGCAATTGTTTATATGTCTCCTCATCTCCCAATATTGTATAACCCTCTACTTAGAGTGAGAAATAGCAGTAATAGAATATTCAGAATAGAGATATCCTCGTCATATATACCCTATGTTGAAATTGAATGACATCTAGTAGTCAAAGTTGGTATTGCAGAGCATGATATAAGAAGTTAATGGAGATCTTGATGCTTGTGTGTTGGCCGTCACCTCAGAGGAAGTCGGAAGTGATGCGTAAGCGGATCAGGGCCATACAAGCATCACAATCTAATAAAATGGAATGCCAGTGGATGTGTTTTTATGCAAATAAAATGTATCATAATTGTAAGTGCCTTTTTATCTTTATTTAAATTAATTAATTATGATACTGCACAATGGGGAGTATATCTTCTTCTTTCTGAGTATTAACAAAGAGGAGATAGAAGATGGAGAAGGTGTAAGGAATGACTGCTGAATGTCATAGTGGAAGGAGGGGAAAGAATCTCTTGATTAACTGCTGGATACGGGAGTGGAAGAAACAGAGAGAGAAATCTATTTGAAAAGCGTGTACTGTTCATCTGTAACATGGTGAACAATAGGAGTTTGTGAGTGCGGCTAGATACTTTATTACATGGAGGGAAGCAAGGATCACTTGGATTTGTGAAGTAGACGGAGGTGGTGTGGTCATAAAGTTGGAAGAAATGTTGTACTTTAAAAAGGACTGCACTTCATTAGGAGGATTATATTATCACAGTTGGATGCATGCAATAATTAATATTGTGAGAGATATTGTTGTTTACATTACATTGAACAATCACAAAAATAGTTGTATGATTCTACTTTAGGAGGAAAGATTGCACATATTTTCATTGAACAACGCATGTTTTGTATGTCATTTATGTTATTTGTGTTATCCATTGATATATGGATGTATCACTGAAGTCATTTTAGAGGACTGTACCTTATAGGGAGGATTGCATATAAGAATACTGCACAATGCATGTTAGATGATAATGCATGTTCGAGTTTAAAATGGTTTGATTATTATTCACATATTGTACATTGTATAACTAGATAGTCACTAAGGATTTTAAATGCAGTGCTTTTTTTCAATTAGCATTTGAGGTGGGTTGGCACTAATTTAACACAGTTTTAGAATGAGTTTTGAATCCTAGCATGGTATATCACTACCTGAGGTTCTTGTGGTTACTCTGGTGTGCCCATAGACTCAGTTATCATGGGTAAGGTCCTTGTATTGAATCCAACAAAGTCCATTTAGCATATGATATTCCATGAGGGTAGGCCTTGAGGGCCTAAGCCCTCAGGCCTGGGCACTAGGCCAGTACCTAAGCAGCCATCTCCCAACTGGGGAGAGGTGAAGAACAGGAACCCAGAACTGATCATGCTCAAGGGTTTTGTTATAGCCAACCCCTCCTACTAATGACACTCTCCACAATGATTAGCTATCACAGAACCTCAGTCAGAAATGATTCAACTCCAGCACAGTACTTTGTCACAGCAAAGCCTGGTGGATGAAACACAAAAGTGACCTATGAGCACACCCTACTGCTGAGAAATAATACAGGTTGGTTCCTGGAGATTACTGCAACTTCGCCACTTTCTACTGAGCATAGTCCCTGGATCGACATCCCCTGCGCCACTCACGTTGTTTGACCGACTATGCCTCTCCCCATCCAGGGTATAAAAACTGGTTATTACTCCCGATGATTCCTTTGTGCCTCCGTTTCTCCTTAAGTGTGAACGAGACCTATAGCTATCTCTTTCAACAGAACAACGGAACAACGAAAAACATCATATACTTCTCTCACGAAGCTTCTGTTGTGTGTAAAACGCAGGAAGCTAACTACAAACTACTTACATGCTAGTATAGGGTTCCCTCCACTCTGCATAAGATCTGGCCTCACACTCCAAACCGATGTTGGCGCTGTAATGAGTAAGAGGGCTCCCTGATGCATATCTTTTGGTCATGCCCTCCATTTGTCTAGCCTCACGGAACAGGTATAAACTATCTCTGCTGATACACCTGCTCAATACAGCTTAAATGTGTATCCCCATGCTTTGGAAGATAACCACTGCTCCAACCATAGCCATGTGGATCTCTAAAGTCCGGGAAACGGAGATGGTGGAATGCATGACAGTTTCCCTATACCACCGGGAAACAAAATTCAATAAAAGATGGTTCTATTGGTATGAATACCTCCTCTCCTCAGATGCTCCTCTGATGCCTTGATGATGTCTCTCGGCTTCGCAAATTGCCTGAGCTGAACACTGTTCCCTTCCTCCTAATGGATGGATGGCCTACCCCCCTTCCCTCCCTGCCCTTTCTCACTTACTCCACACTCCCTTCTTCGAGCTGTTCCCTCTTCTTACCTTTTCTACAAATACTTATTTGTGTCCCATAGCATCATTCGACTGCTAATTGCTAAATTTTTGGGACACCGGGGACAGATTAATAATAAAAAAAATGTAAAAACACATGCTTAGCAATAGTTGTTAACACTGCCTTTTTACACGCCTGTTTCAATACATACTGTGAATGTTTTCTACAATGTCCATTCAATGGCAGTTTTGCCAATGTTTTTATACCATGACTCCTCTCTTGTTACTGTCCAGCATTTATGGATATTATACTTCTGCTACTTGTGTCTAAAATAAAGAATTATAAAAAAAATAGTGCACCTGCGAGTATAACTTGGCACAATTACACCAACACCAGATCAACCTTATAAATATATAGAGTCCAAGGTCCACAGTATCGTCACCTTGAAACCTTGAACCTTCAACCTACACCATTAAAATCGCTGTTCAAGGGTTGCTTTGGAGTCAAAGCATTTGTTTTCTTTATGTGGAATTTGGCATGTGGTGTAGTGTGACTGTAGTGTCTATGGTACTAGTGTGATTATTAGACATTTCTATTTGCACTGATGACTACTGTAACTGAGACAGAAAATAATGGGAAATCCAGAGATTTAGAGTTGTTGCCTGAACAAGTGGCAACAGGGGATCTTCCAATGGGGACATATTTTCCAGTGACAATTGTCAAAGAGGGAAATTCTCCTCAGTTGTAGAGATTTCCTCTCACTTATTGTTGCATCTCCAGGACAGTAAATCAAGGACAATCTCACCGTCATGATTTAGACAGCAAAAAATAAACTCTATCCAAACAAAAAAAATAAAAGTTTTGGCTATGCATAGACTTTTAATGTGTCAATAGCAACAGACAACTACCTGATGTAGTGTATGATAAAGGAGGAAAAAAAAACAAAGTATGTGTGTGTCATTGATTACGACTTTATTTTCATATTCTATTTTCAGGTTTCTGGACTGTCGCTGTGGATAGGAAACAAGATGACCCCACTTGGCTCATTACCTATTTGGGTTGTGGTTCTTATTGCATGCATAATTGTGACATCGGTTACTGAAGTTGCTAGCAATCCTGCAACAATCACAATATTCTTACCTATATTAGCTCCATTGGTGAGTTGACTCAAATTTATAGTCATTGCATAAACTACAACATAATTCTGATTTGTTGGAGGTTATAATAGAATATATTTTAGACAATGTTCACAATATATTTTAAACATTAACATATAAGGTATAACTTTACATACTGTATATAGTGTTTATTCTAGTTTTATATGTGACCTCAGCTGACACTTTTGTAATTCTGACAAATATAGCAACAGTATTTATTTTCCAGGTTAAAGGTTTAGTTGACATTGTAGTTAAAAATAGTTAAAATATGGCTACATACCATGAATTGTCTTATCAAACTCTGCTCCTGTGTTGAAATTTTGTAGAACTGCAATTCAAGAAATTAGGAGGTCAAGATGGTGACACTATATTTAGTTTCATGATCTTGGTCTTAAAAAAACAAACTTTTTAAAATTAAAGTCTGAAGTAAAGATGCAGGTATAACAATAAAAATGGTTGTCAAATTACATAGTGCTCAACTGAATAATCAAGCTCCTTGTAGCAAAACAAAGGGGAAGAGTTATACTTTGGTATTACTGGAAAGTGCATGGTAATAGAAGCAGCCAAGTAATTTGGAAGTAGAAAGGCCACCATGATTAAAGCACTTTGCAAATATAAAATATAGCACCGGAAAGTCAAGGCCACTCCTCTACACCCCTATGAACAGATGTTCATACCAGTGTAGAGCTAGTAGTTGTGCACTACAGGTATTGGATTTCAGATGTCAGATTGAGCCATCCACTGATTCCAAATCTTCTGAAATTTCGTGGGGCAAACCACCAATTTGGTTGTTCATATATGAATATCTTGAAAGGAAGGGTAGCATTGACATGAAGAAACCAGGCTACTGGGTCAGATGAGTAGCTTGAATCCAGGTACGTGCAATAAATAAAGTTTCATGAAGAAATACAGTAGTAATGTTATCCAATTCTAAATTGGACAAAAGATCCAAGGGGCTCATGGAGAATGGGGTGCCCATTTTGTAATGCAGGAATTTGATCACCTGCTCATTGTATCCTTGGATCAGAAGACATGCCCAAAATAAATGAAAAAATTACCCAAGGCAGCAGAGCACATAGGATACAAAGGGCTATGATTTGGTTGGGATTTTGAGAGCTGTACAGGCATCAAACAAGGCTTATGTAAAATATACAGTTGTATCAGTCTGTCAGATAGTTTTGGGGGAGACTCCAATGCTTCATCTCATTATTCCTCTTCCAGGACCCTAATATCCACCTCCCCCCTGTGTCTGGGTTGGTGGGCCAACACCGCAGCTTGAGGGTTGAGTAGCATCATACAAAAGATGGAAAACATCTTAGTAGAAGTGCACACAGCAGAATATTGAAATATGTCATTATTGTTTACCTTTATGATACAAGTGGGAAGATTGGACAGCTATATAATAACAATTTAAGTCTGGCAATGTAACCCTTCCAAGGGAAGATGGGTAATCCAAATTAAACAGCTTAAACAGAAGAGAATGCATTCTCTAAAAGTATTTTACATGGAGATACATTGGGGAGGGCAAAAGCAAATTTTTTGATTTTTGATAAAATTATTTTGACTAAAACCACCCTATCCATTGCCACTAAAGGAAGTTTAGTCCATATTTAACACTTGGCCTGATAAGGGTTCGATGTCCAAGGGGATCTAATTAGTAAAGGTTCTTGACATTTGCAGTCCCAATCATTTAATGAAACCGATTCCTAAACGTGGCAGGGAGACTTGCCCAAAAAACTGTCTACATGGAGAATTTGTGGTCTACCCCAATTGATTTTTAAACCAGAAAACTTGCCATAATCTTCTACATTTTTTCATTGTAGTACCAAAGAGTGATCTAGCTGGTAGCTACAGGACTCCATGTTAACTAGTGTTAGTGAGTTATCATTGCAGTAAAGAATTTTAGGATTAGACAGAACACTGTGCTCTTAAGGAAATGTACTTTATTAGTGGATAAAATGGTTGCTAGATGCAGTAAATGATAATAGAATAAAATAACACAAAGGCAGATCTTTATTTCTTCTGCATTACAGTGACATTTCTACATCTGACATATGTGATATTTGTCAGATGAACAGCAGCACAAAAACTGTTAAACGAATATAGCTTTATGGAAATTCACCCTCTCACCCCTGGTGATTTGTTTACTGAATTAATTTTTTTCTGGAAACAGCACCACTGCACCACCAATATCTGACTTGATGTGCTGCCTTGTAATCTTACATTCAAAGGGAGTGCCCAAGAGAATGGTCTTGCACCGCAGGGGAAAGACAAGTCTTCAGCACAGTCATGTGAATAATATAGAATGTTCAAGCACCTAACACAAAATTATTATTTCACCACCTATTCTATTTTATATTTTATATTTTTTTGATAATAATATCCTGCAGTGCTGGCATATAGGTTTTCCTGCTCTGTAACATTTCTTAACCGGGAGTTTAACCTTACATTAATGCTGTGCACACTAAAGTTTTACATATTCAAAACAGACAGTACAAGCACTTTAACACAAGCCCTCACTCCCCCCTAGTTATAGGCCTTGTTTTTTGTCAAAGTTAACAACAGGGGCACACAAACTCTAAAAAATTTTCCTAAGACTATCTATTGCAGCAGACTTTTTGGCAGTCTGACAGTCTTTTAGCCCACATTCACACCTGTGCATTTAGTGGCACGTTTCCCTGCTGAGTTCAATAGGGCCTGAATATGTGACAAATGCAGCAAAACAGGTCTATGAAGCAAATTTTGCAACACATGTTGCACGTTTTTTACTTCCACGTTTGTGCACGTTTTATTGCGCGCAAACACGGAGCAAAGAGGCGCATCTTCCTGGCCGCATTTAGGGTGCCATTAGAAATGATTGGCAATGCAAGTGCATTGCGCATTTTGCTGCATTTCCATCAATGCGTGCCAAAGCAAGCATCTTTGTATGCTTTTGGCACATGTTTAGGGAACAGCAGGTTTAAATGCAGGCTTAATGTAGACAAACAATAGATGTTTCTAAGCTGTTAGAAGTGAACTGAAGCTCAACTTTGTTGAGTCTTTGTTATCACCTTTGAGGATCTTTGAGAATAAATTACTTCACATTGCAAGTAGCTAGAGAGGTCAGGGATGGTTTGTTATAATTTTTTTCTTCTGTATTACATACACCTTTGGTACAGATATATGTCAGGTACCATTCTATGACCATTAATGTTTATAGCCATAAGACCCAACCAAGGACCCATGTAGCTCTCAGCTTTTCATAATTTTAGTCAATTCCACTCACCCCCAGCTGTATTATGTGTGCATCTTCATAAAAAAAATACATGAAATATTAATATTTTTTAAAATATGTTTGATTTGAACCATATTTGCTTGTCTTGTTTTAACCTAGTTTTAATGTTAGCTATGAGAAATACCTACATACCAACAATATAATATGGCTTTAATCTAAATATTTTCTTGTATTCTACACAGGCTGAAGCACTATATGTGAACCCACTCTACATACTCCTCCCTACAACTCTTTGCACATCTTTTGCCTTCCTACTTCCTGTAGCAAACCCACCAAATGCCATTGTCTTTTCTTATGGCCATCTTCAAGTTATAGACATGGTAAGTAGTACTGTATCTACATTTGATACTTGCTTTAAGCATTTTAAATGTGGATAGTTTGTCTGTAAGCAGCCATAAGAAGTACTAGTAGATGTTTTAAACAATGATCATAAAAGCAGAAAAATGAAATTCTAAAGAAATGTTAGCACTGCTCCAGATGTGCAAAAACACAGAACATAAGGACCCCATAGCAAAATATTTTTGGAGCCCCCCATTTGTTGTCCCTTTTTCCAGTGACCTCTCTGTGGCACTTGACACTTTGCACCCCTAACAGGTTCCTTTAATAATGATGGTTAGCAAGCTAAACTGCACCCCTATATATATACCCCTTAGTCATTAGTGATCTGTTGCAGCCAATAGCCTCTTCTGTGTTTACCATTTCATTGGTGGTCAGTGGAAAGGCCTCCCTAAATCTCCATTTTAATTGATGGTCAGCAAAAAGACCCTTCTGCTAAAAGTCCTCTTTAAATGTGTGTACAGTAGAAATGCCCTTTTTAAATTGGTGATCGCTATATTATATATTAACTGACTATTACAAAGCTATGGGACAGCTGAGAAAAAACAGAGGTTACAGGTGCATTGGAGATGCAGGAAGAGCTGTGGATTAGCTGATGAGCAGAAGAGGCTGCAGCTGTACTGCAGACCGATGCCAAGGGTTCTTCTGGGACTTTGGCTGTGAGTGCAGCAGAGACCAAACTGGGGTGTGGCAGGGACTTTGGCTGTGGGTGCAACAGTGGATGGGCTGCAGGTGCTGAGGGGTCTACACTGAGGTGTAGAGGAGACCAAGCTGAGGTGCAGCAGAGACTTAGGCTCTGGGTACATTGCTAAGGCTGAATATAAACAACTTTGGTAGCTCAGGGAGCGTATAGACACTGTGTTCAAGCAGTAACTGCGTGCCTAACTTGAGTTAATATAGAAGAAATAGCTACATGACACATTGTCATAAGTGTAACCCAGAAGTGCCAGGAAATAGAGGAGTCCCTGGCACTGGAACACAGAAGGTAAATAGCCATGACAATCATACATTTGGTGTGTGCTTTTTCTACTTGGTGAGGTGCATATGTAACATATGTTGAGTGTTATGGTTGCTGTCAACTATTTTTGCAACATGTACCTTTTGTGCTTTTTCTTTCAAATTCGTGGCTCAATTTATATATTTTTTCTGCTTCTTCTTTGCTTATAGGTAAAAGCTGGACTCGGTATTAATATATTAGGCGTTCTTGTTGTGATGCTTTGTATATCGACTTGGGCAATACCTATGTTCAATCTTCAAACATATCCATCCTGGGCTCCAATTATTGTTCCTCCAAACAGCACAATCCTGACTACATCATTCCTGACTACTGTGGGGTGAAATTACAAATGAACACATGTAAATTAGTAAAAGAACTGACATCTTCTTAAAACAAGTTAGTGTAAATCTGCTCATATATACATAAATTCATGTCCACCTCTTTATCTAAGCTTTGGCTGCACAGAAGGAGGTCCGCAGTATGGAAAGTGCTTTCTATTACAAAGACCTGATTAACTTTTGAAGATATTTATGATTCTGGCCCAAGCAGACCATTTGTTCCCAGAAAGCCACTTCTACCATTTCTTACCTTTTTTATACAAATATTTTTATTTTTCAAAATTAAAAATGCATTATTGTGTTCATGGAATTCACCTTGTTAGCATATAAGCTAAGGTACATATGTATATATGTTTAATTTTACAGTTGTAGCATGCCTTATATTTAGACAAACTTTTCTGAGGGCTGCATAAGTACAGATGATGAGATGCCAATATATGTATACTGTCCAAGATGTCTACCTCAAGATGTACTGTATGTCTCTGGTTTATCTTCACTGAATGCTAAATGAATGGAATGAGTTGAAACAGCTACGCCGGCAGGGGTGGCAAACTCTGGCCCTCCAGCTGTGGTGAAACTACAAATCCCATGATGCCTCTGCGAGTCGTGGCTCTGAGAATCTTGCAAAGCCTCAAGGGACTTCTAGTTCCACAACAGCTGGAGGGCCGCAGTTTGCCACCCCTGAGCTACGGTGTAAGGACTAGCAAGCGAGAAATGGGGCAGTTGTCCTATCAAGGTTACACAGCTGTGAAACAGGCTTTCTTGATATTACACATTTTTATTCTATACATTAAAATGTGGTCTATGAACACAGCACGCATATAACTGTCTAGGTGTAATCTCTGGTCCATGCAAATAGATATGCAGCACTTTAATACAGTGTTTCAAGAAGGTTGAATAGTTATAGCCTCTCTGCAGTAGTATACAGTAAAGCTGATAATTTTCACTAGGGATGCACAGATACTTTTCGAGTACCAGTGCAGATACTTGGCATTTTCATGAGAACTACCAGGGTTGCAGCGGTTGCAGCTGGGACCTGGCTCTGGAGCTCCACCACTGACCTGAAATCATTAGTCTGTATTGTTTTAGAAAAACTGTCACATGACAATAAACAAAAATGTATCAGTACTTGTAAGTACTCGGCAAGTACCAGTACTCGCAAAACTGGTATCTGTGCATCACTTTATTTATATTTATAAAAACAAAATCGTACATTAAAACAGAGATGTACAAATCCCTGGAGCTCCGTGTGCTCCTTACAAATGGCAGCTGCCTCATAATTTTTGCATTTTTCTCTAGTCTAGCCTTGGAGCTCAAAAGTATCGGTACATGCACTCGTACTTGTACCGAGTACTGTACTTGGTATCTGTGCAACCCTAATTTTCACAGATAGACCTAAAATTGCTAGCATGGAGATGGGGCTTCAGTACCACCAAACGAATTCCTTTCCACTCCACTCCTTTCCAAAAGGAGCACTTTTTAAAGAATTATTCCTAAGAGACCGGAAAACCCAAACATCTGTTATATTTTAGTTTGAGAAAAAAAACAACCCAATGTTAGCTTACACTGCTGAATCTGCAAAGTTCTGGGTTTTTACCATCCTGTAGCCCACCTTTAACTTTATATTATTAGACTTAGCGGTACCTAACCCTATATAATACCCTAACTAAGGGAGGCTATGGAGCTCAGCTGCGGAACCCCGTTCCGCGTCACACACCCAAGACCAAGGGTACTTGTGCAGCAATGAATCTCGCCACTAGGTTTTGCGCATCATTGCACCAATCTCCCAAAAGAGTGATAGTAACAGTGGAACAATTAATTACAGCGAGGTTAATCAAGTTGAGGAGTCTCCCTCAATGCACCTGTTAAGCGGACCCGTTGGTGTAATGACAAGATCGATCTCCACAATCACTGACTGTTCTTGTCACAATACAGTATTGGTAGGAATTATCAACAAAGTTCTGAGAGTATAGCAGTTTCAATAACAGTTCACAGTTCTCAGTTGTACAGCAAGCAGCGCCTATGAGTTACCACCGGATGGCAATAGAGAGCTACACAGTATACTTGCGGTTAGCTGTTCTCAGGGAACTGATCCTCTCCTTAGACTGGTGAGCCCGCAATTGGATGAAGTGGCAGCAGGGACTTGCCAACGATCTGCTCGATCTGCGTGGGGATGTGAGGGCTCTGTGAGGAGAGGGTTTGTGTAGAGGCTCCGTTGTGCTGCGAGGCCAGTGAAGGTCTGGCGTCCGCATTGATTGCTGGATCGCCAGACATCTGAAATGTTCCGGTTTAAGAGGAGGAGGGGGCGGAGCCGTGTGACGTCATCGGCCCGGGAGCGACACCCCGCGGCGTGTCCGTGACGTCACGCGGGTGAGCCGCCGGGAGCCGTTACACCCTAAGCAATTATAAATAAATCCTATGAAACACTGAAGAATATTGAATAATGAACACCCTAAATAACTATAAGCATAGTGAGGTGAAGTGAGACTGCGACATCACTTTGAGCCCGCAACCACATGCAGGGGTAGTTCATATGCAATTAATTTCCCTTGCACATTTTTGATAGTTTGAAGTGAACACAGGGTCACCTCGATTCACGTAATCTTACTTCACCTCACTTTGCGGTAAATGAAGCCCAATATGTGCAATCTGACATTGCCCATTTCATGTGTAAAATCTTTTCATAGTCAATAATTGAATACCCTATATCGTAAAGGACCCAGTTTTGGGTTTATAGACATGTAAGTGTAATGTTTGTGCTTGTTTTTAAACAAGAAGAAAAACAAATTTATTTTTGTCTTTCAGTAACTTACAAAACGGTAACAGTAATTTGCAATATTGATGTTCAGAGTAAACATGCTCTTGTTAATTGCCTGTGCAAAAAAAATCATTTACATATTTCTGCAAGTCATATGCCAAATCGTTATTCCAGGACAGCATCACACAGCACAATGAGCATTCTATAAATGCTTACGAAGTACTGCATTTCTATTGTGAAATAAGAGTAAGCAG